CAATTATATCAGCAATATAAATGTATATTAACATAATCCGTGATATTACCGGAATAAGTGTACTTACTTCCAATACTTCAACAAAAGAAGAGTTCTTACATAATTATTCCTGTGTCTCACCAAAACAAGTATCCTTACATATTTCATTATATCAACAAAAAGTATTATCTGTGCATAATTCATGACTTAACCAAAATGAATACATCTTAACAAAGTCCATGTCAACAAAATAAATGTATAATTTTGTTAAAAAGAACTCTGGTACGTAACTTTCAGGGCTCGAATTTCATCTCTCTGAAAGAATCTAGAAACAGAGTCGCCGAAAGTGGTAGGGGTAGGGGTAAAGGCAGGGGTACGGGTAGGGTATTGATAAGGGTAAGGGTAGGGATAGGGTTAGGCGTTGGACCAGGTTTAGGGATAGACCTCTTTTTTTATTGTATTTGTTGGGGTGGTCACTCGTTACGGAAGTCCTTCCAGCCACAAGGAACAATTAAAGTAACAGGAATATTTGATATGTTCGCAGTGCTCTACACCCGGAGATATTGTTCTGGTGGATAACATGTAAACATCAACACTGTCAACGGGGAGTTCCATTTCAGGAAGGTTTTGTGCTTGTCTTGGAGTTGATCGCTCATTGATTGGTGCAGCATTTGTCCAGGTCAATACAGAGATGAAGAGCAAAGGTTCAGGTGAGTTCTAGTGTTATTTCATAACTAAGATACGGTGCAAATCAGAACATTTAAGATTCAAATATAGCGTACCATTGTCCAGCATGGTACCAACTGAATATACGGAGTGCCCAGAAAGAAAAGGTTAAAGCAAAAACCATTGCATTAAAGAACCAGATTTAAAAGTACTCCGCAAACAAAACCAAACAAAAAACTCAGAACTCGTAAAAAAAAACCCCGACTACCACAGTAAACATCAGCTGTAAGTTAAACTGTGAATTTTGTGTTTTTCTTCCGAGATCAATCATAGTGATTTTATGCAAAAAGAACAATGGATGGTAACATACTAACCCCCCACCCCCCCAAAAAAAAAAATAAAAAAAAAAATTTAAAAAATAATAATAAATAAATAAATAAATAAATAAATAAATAAATAAATAAATAATAAATGAATAAAATAATTAAATTTAAAAAATTAATTAGAAAAATATAAAAATGAAAAAAAATTAATTTAAAAAATATAAAAATGAAAAATAAAAATATAAAAAATATAAAAAACCCGATAGCAACAATAACATTCCTCGCTAGAATTTATTCATAGCTGACTGGTAACGTTTTAACTACTGAGTTATTTGATGCGTGAGTAACGTGTATGGCAAGTCCAAAGATCTTCTGCCCCCGCTCAACCTCTCCATCTGTGTCTATTTCTCTCTGTCTCGCTCACTTTCTATCTCTCTCCTTCTCTCTCTCTCTCTCTCTCTCTCTCTCTCTCTCTCTCTCTCTCTTTCTCTCTCTCTCTCCCCCCCCCACTATCTCTCTATCCCCTTTCACACCCTCTCTCACCCTGTCTGTTTGCCTCTCAGTGTGTCTGTCTGTCTGTCTGTCTGTCTTTTGCCTGTCTATTTGTCTTTCTGTTTCTCCTTACTACCGGTGTGTATGTCTCATTCTCACTCAAACTCTGCCCCATATCTCTCGACACACACACACACACACACACCTCTACAGACACTCACGGACGCTCCTCTCCTGCACAGATTGTATTGAAAAGGACCTGCCAGAATGCCCATATCTCGCAGATTGATAAATGAAAATACATAGAATGACAATACTACTTACGTAATTTTACGCTTACTCTGTCCTGAATTTGATACCATGCGTTGTCGAAGGGAGAAGAAAACATTCTTTTCATTATTTGTTGTATCGCCTGATGCACATTATTCTTTTCATAATGATATTTCTCTGACTCCCTCTACCCATCTTTTCCCTGAATTGCCCGTTCCTTTGAGTCCCCCCCCTCCCCCCGATTCTTTTGTCTGCTTTCGCTGCTATACTGTCTAGTGGCGGGCTTGACAGGTGTCCAAACCGTTTCATTCCTTTTTTGTCTGTGTAAGCCAAGTTGCACTTTGACATTCTTCGTTTTTAACCCTGTAGGTTATTGTGATGTCCATGCATTTTGTTAGGCATCTCATGATATGTAATACTAAAGAAGGAACTTTATTTCATAGTGAGCACTCGGACAGAAGAAGAATCAAATTTTAATAATCAAATTACAGTTATATTATTCCCTTTAAATCTTTTTATTTCTAATGAGGATTTTTCTCTCTCAGGTGCTCTTCAACTGTGGCTCGCCTTGTGGGCCTTAACCTGCTGCCATGTAGCGTACGATATCGTCACATACAGGCGTCAAACACGTCCCACAGCGCCGGAACAAAGAGCAGTTAGACCAACAGACAAATGGATCGTCGTGGACAGCACCCGACTAGATTGTGTCACGGTCAACTGGGAGCCTCTAAGCCAAGATTCGAACCCCTGGAATGTTGTCGTACTGGTGCGCCAGGACCACACTGCTTTTGGATGCCATCCTCCTGTGTGTATAGAAATGTCTCGAGAATTCCAGACGTCTAACCCTAGACACTTGTCATTGCTATGGGCTTTTCAATCTAAAGAAATAAAACATCTATTTGCCTATGCCTGGGTAATAGCTCGAGGTGCAACCTCTATTCTTGACGTGGATTGTACTCTCTTTTATAATTCAAACGTTAATACAATTGTATCAAACATGCTTAATTTGGAGTCGAATAACCCACATTTATTGTATAAAAGCAGTCCTGTGTTTGATCCCTTTTACCATTTTGGCTACAAATCAAATGACAAACTTAGACAACAGTTCAATTTCTCAGCAGAACTATTGAGAAATCAATCAATTTACCATTTGGAAACTCCACAAAGATTGTATATAAAGCACGGATTTTCAGCTTCTTGTAATCAGAGTGTTGAAGGAACTGTTCAGAAGGCTCGTGGTTACGTGTTTAATACTCCTGTCTCCTTGGGGGATGGGGTTTTCTTTCACTTCAGTCATGGCCCGACCTTATTTCACAAACCTGCTTTCTGGTTTCTGTTCCGGCCTCCAGGCATGGATTCACAACAGACTGCATTATTCCGGAGCTTATGGCTTTTTAGTATGAGACGAGAATTCCACATGGAGATGTCTGTGCACGACTTTAATGAGGATAGTTTAGATAAAACCCGTTCTCCTTCTTACCTCCAGACATATCAAGAAGTCAATTTGAAATATGTTGTGAAATGTGTCGAGCACACTCGCTGCCCAAAAGAGTTCCAGTTGCACGCATGTGTGTTGAGACAACTGCAGAACACACTTCGCTGCCTGAGTGGACTTGTCACTGGAAACTACCCAGTGGAGGAGTATAACATGTCTTACTTTCTGACGTGGATTGAAAATCTAGCTAGTCTTGGAGTGAACCTTACCGAAGATATTACTGACCACTCAAGTAGACACTCCAGCTCCACACCACTTACGTTTTCTTTACTGAACCAAAACACGAGTTCATTTACTCAGAGTCAACAAGAGAAAATAAACAAACACGTCTTCCAGCGCATGATTTCAATTTGTTCAAATTATTCGAAGAAAGACAGCATTCCCCATTCCGTGTTAGACTGGAGAAACCCACGTATTGATGACATCATGCTCATTGTGGTACTTAACTACGAGACGGTTTTTGGTGCGGTGCTGCACACGGAGTATATTCACCGTCCTGTCTTCAAGTACATCGTCTATTGTGGCCCGGCATTACAACACTTTGTCCAGTTTGCAGACGACTTAGGCTTGACGTATCTAACGTACATAGAAGGTCTCCCAAAGAGCTGGCATTACATGTATGAGTGTTTGGCTCATGCCATGAAGCTCGGTGCTCCTGTCAGAGGGTATCTGCACATAGGTGATGACGTTCTTCTCAATGCATGGAACATACAACACCTTCATAGAGATCGTGTGTGGATACCTGGGGGGTTTATGAAGTTAGATATTTATGAAACCGTAGAATTCAGAGAGTGGGTGCACTGGGCAAAACCGTACGGCCGGCCAGCGTTATTGAATGTTTTTGAACATTTAAAGAACGCCTCTGAAGAGAATAGCACTTCGACGGATACAAATCCGAAAACTCAATATTTCAGACAATTTGCGTTGAGGTTTCTCGAAAACTACAAGCAAAACATTGGTCTCGAGTATGTGTTGAAGAGAGCTATAGATTTTCTTTATATTCCAAGCCGTTTGATGGAGGACTATTCAATAGCTTCTGATCTGTTCAGAAGTTACGGTTGCTTCATAGAGTTAGCAGTGCCAGCAATACACTTAGGCATAGCTTTGAAGAAAGACGTCATCTACGTGGAAGCACAGAGCGTGTGGGGTGAGAACAGACTCACTCCCTGGAAGTTTTATTCTGCAAAGGGTCAAGTTTTTCTTCACCCTTTCAAGGCGATGAGTGACATAAACAGGCCAGAAACTCGCACATTTTTCTGTAATACTTTTATGGATGATTATTTAAGATTCTTAAGCCCCAGCAGCTTTTAGATACGTTTTCTATTCGTTCACAATTTCCTTCAGTAATGTTAGTATGTTTATTTTTTGTTTTTTATTCAATTAAGCTAATTTACTTTTGGTATTTGGCCATTTTGTTTTCTAAGGCGTTATGATATGTTGAGTGTTATTGCATGCACATCGATTTGAAGTGTAAGAATTGAGTATGAGAGATACATAGATAGAGGGAGAGGGAGAGAGAGAGA